TGACGCACAAGGCCCGCCCCTTCAAGGGCCTCCTGGACGCATAAATTAGACGTCAACAGTCCCGGAGCCGGGCTTGTGGCGGTCTTCTCTGCTACTCGGAAGCCGCAGCAGATTTGCTTCCAGACGCTCCCAAGATGGCGACATCGCTAGGTTCAAACACCTACAACAGGCAGAACTGGGAGGATGCGGTGAGTATGCCCGCCCGAAAGAACGGACGGTGGCGGCGCGGCTGGCCTCACGCGGGCGGGCAGGGCGAGGCTGCGGGGAGCCCGAGAGGATTCCGCAAGGAGCCGGCGGCGCGGCCTAGCCCGGCCGGAGCTGGAAGCTAAGGGGGCAGCCCGGGGTTAGGCTTGGAGGGAAGAGGCTCGCCGGAGCCCCAGCACCATCCCTTCCTCCTCCAGACTTGGAGCTGGTTTCCTCCTCCCCCGCCGCCTGCCGGAAGTGCAGACCGCATTCCCGCCCTCGAGGCGGCGGGCACCGGACCCGGGGTTCCTGGCCTGCCAGGTCCCCACCCTCGGACCCCGCTCCCCCACCCCCGCGGCGGGGATGACAGCAGTATCTTCCGAACCTAGTTTTTAACTTGCTTTCTCATTTTCACCAGGACTTCCCCATTCTGTGCCAGACGTGTCTTGGAGAAAATCCTTATATCCGAATGGTGAGTGGTCGTTGAGTGAGAGTTAAGTCTTGTGTCAGTGTTGTACTTGGTGACTGTTGGGCACTTTTACTGACCCGAAGTGCCTGTTTGCAAGGGAGCGTCATGCTAACTATCTCAATTTGGAACCTGTGATATAGGAGCCTTAGTAAAAGCTAACGTTTGCATATAGGTCTTAACTGATGCACAGAGAGTTTAGATGTCTTTTCACATTGCTAGTAAGGGGTAGATGGAAGGCTTAAAATATTCACTGCAGGAACTTAGAAGGAGAACAAGGACTGTAATCTTTTTTCTGACACCCAAATGACTTTTGGCCACTGCATGGTGATACTGTGTGTGTGTGTATGTGTGTATCTTGGAGATGGGAGTGAAGCAAGGTGCCCCCATCCTTCTAAACAAAGGTAAAATGTAACTTTTGATGGTTAGGGTATTGTGATCAGTCTCAGAGGACATGTTGGTTATAATTAAGATGTTTGAAGATCTTATGGGAACAGGAGTTTGTTATTATATTGATAGTAGTTGCCTTCTGATTAAATATGTAAATGAGTTGACCATGCCTGTTTCCCTCCTCCTCTGAGAATCATTAAAACAGGAATTCTAGTTCTTTGTAGAGAACTTGGGAGCCAGAAGTGAATCTTTAAGAGTTACGGAAATATGTGCACCTACCTGGTGTTAGATAGATTATAACTCTAGTAGGTGCTTAGACAGTATCTCAGCCTGACTTATAAAGGGAGCTGTATGTGTTTATTTTAAGGATTTCTCGATAATGGATTATATGTCAGGAAGGAATATGGATCTGGCTTGGTTTTTTTTTTTCACCCGTTAAGGCTATTTTCTGTAATTTTCTTTTTCAGACCAAAGAAAAGTATGGGAAGGAATGTAAAGTAAGTATGTCTGTTAAAGAGTGATGATTTTATTTTACCCCTCTATGTTTCACATATGCCTTCAACTTGTGGAATTGTGTGACGTCTTCTAATAAAATCCAGTGAGAATGCCAGGTGACACAGTACTTAAGTACTCAGGTACCAACTGAATAGTTGGTGGTTTAAACTTAACCAGTGTCGTCTTAGGAGAAAGACTTGGCCCCTGACCATCTGCCCTATAAAGATAACAATTTAGAAAATCCTAGCTCACAGTTCTCCCTTAATCTTAGTGTTGGAATCAACTCAGTAGCATACATTAGCAAGAACACAGTAAAAGTCAGCACTATATAACAGTTCATTTATATGTTCATTGATTGTCTTTTGTAGGAAGTAAGGCATTGTGTCTTATAATGTAGGGGTTTTTATTCTGATGGTGTGGACACCCATGAATTTATATACCATCTCTTTTAGAATTAGACACACATGAACATTTTATCTGATAGCCAAAGGTCAGATACTAGTGCCATTTCTCTCTACTGTAGGGAGATTTGTTGTTGTTATGTGCCGTCAAGTCACTTGCAACTCATAGCAACCCTATGTACAACAGCCCTAAACCCTGCTCTGTCCTGTACCAGTCTCACTGTCTCTGACACACCCACACCAATTACCCCAGTCACTGAATCAATCCACCTCATAGAGGGCCTTCCCCTCCTGCGCTGTCCCTTACTTGAGGGTTTTATTTCTGTATTTTGTAATTTTTTAAATACTGAGGGAAATGGAGTTCTGTGCATATAAAACATAAAATGTTTAGATAATTGGTAAGCTGTCTTCCAAATCCTCAGAGATCCTTTCTTCAAGCCCTCTGTTTGTAAGTCTCCTGACTTGATTGTTCAAGTAAGGCGTTAACACCCTGTGGCTCACTTTGTGTTCCAGATTTGTGCCAGGCCATTCACAGTGTTCCGATGGTGTCCTGGTGTCCGAATGCGTTTCAAGAAGACTGAAGTGTGTCAAACCTGCAGCAAATTAAAAAATGTCTGTCAGACCTGCCTCTTGGACCTTGAATATGGTATGTTAGCCCTGTCAGAGAGATCTGAAAGTATAAAGATTCACTTGTTACAGGAGACCCACACAACAAAAACCAGTCTTTTTGTCTCCCTTCTCTCACCCTATCTCTAATTCTTACTCAGTGTTCCAGTGTAGAGTACTTTTCCTAGAAAGAGGTGAATTAACACTAAGCCATTCTAGAATCCTGAAGAATGTATAGTAGGAACTTAAGAAAAAGTTAAGAATCAGAGTTTTCTTAACCTTCCTCATATTTATGCCTGCATTGAAAGATACTGAGTCTATAATAGTTTCTTTGCCTTGGGATTCCTGGTGGCACAGTACCTAATGTACCAGTGTGCTAACAAGAAGATTGGCAGTTCAAATCTACCAGCTAACTCCCTGAGAGAAAAATAGACATTGTCCTTTATATGATTTATTGGTTTGGAAACTCAGATGGAGGGTTGCCACATGGGAGTGCAGTTGATGGCAGTGTGCATTAGGCCTCTTTCTAGATCTAAAGATTTTTTTCCATAGTAACACTTTAAAGCTAATAGGCTAACTGCTTTATATTTTTCTATAAACTGTGATAGGATTATATATCTCATTACATTGTTTCATTGTGATAATTTTGAAGAGAGTGGTTTTTTTAGCAAGTGATCTTTTTTATGTAGTCCTTTTCACTTGTCCACATCTGTTCATCTTGCCTATTCACTTGTGGATTTCAATTTGTTATTACTAATAATGCAGGATTGTATATGTAATAGTAGTTGCCTTTGTTTATAATTCTTAGGTACCTCTCTGTGTCTTCCTCTTTAGTGGATTATGTTTACCATTGCCTAATTTTTTTTTATTATTAAATTTTATTAGTTTTAATGAACATTTACAGAGATTTTGGGTTTTCATTCATTCATTGTTGCACTGTTTTCTCCACCCTCCTCCCCAGTTCGTTCTTCTT